GGGGGGGGGGGGGGAAATATATACATACATGTAAGAAAGCTAATGAAAATCATTACACATAACAAATTATCAAACTTTTTTCAATTTTTAAACATAAACATTTATAAGAATTGATTTAGTATGCGAAATCCTAAAGTATAGCCTATAGGGCAAGTTTGTTTCAATTCTTTATGTATGACTTTGTATTAATATTATAGACTTTGTTCTTGTTGTTCAAGTCTTTCCTATGGATTGTGTGCGAAAGTTTCATACAGTAGTTAAATTAACTTTTGTAGAAGTTCATGATAAAAAGTAAAGCAAATTATTTTCATTAGCGTTGTGTACAAATTAAATTTATTGCATTTCAAAGTGCAAGTAAATAAGTTGAGCTCAAGTTATTGCGATCGGAAAAAAGCAGTTAATTTCGATTCACATGTAAGAACTTTTACGTAGAGTTTTGTTTTCAATTTTACATTATAATAAAGCACATAGAAACCAAAATGATATACCTACTTTATATATTTTAGAAATTGATAGTTCTGTACTTAAAAGTGTTCAAGTTTCATCTATTGTTTGCAGATTTGAGGCACAGAGTAGAGACATACAGAGACGTAACTAGTGTACCCACTTTTTTTGTGCGCATGCTCGGCAAGTTACTAGATGCATGCATCTGATTGGATGACGACCTGATGACGACTCACTTTAAACTTACTGAGCACGCGCAGTTCATCATTTTTCGCCCGGTCGCCTGAAAAAAGTGGGTACATGATAACATAATATTCCGCAGTGTTTACAACGGTCAGTTACGTGTCTGTATGTCTTTACTCTGTGTTTGAGGTTTGTACAAAAAAATTTTTAAAAATTATCGTGTTGCCATGACAAACATGACGTAAGCAACGCGAGCCTTCGTTCAATGTTGGCGTAATTACGAATACTTCATGTTGAAACAATGTTTGGAGAATATAGGCGAGGGGTTGTTGCATGCATGTATTTCTAGTAAGTTGTTGCTTGACAACTCAGGCAGCTGCTAATCCGTGTCTCGACAATGGTGTCTAAGTGGGGAAACCACTTTTGGAGTAGCTGTTTGCATTTGTCGATTCCAAGATGACCTTCGTGCGCCGTGTCGACAACTAGCTGACGTAGGCTGCCTGTGCTGGGGGTCACTTCGGCATCTGGGATAAGGAGTCTGTCTCTTCTTAGGATTACTCCATTCCAGTGGGTCAGTTCCTGGAATACCTGTACTTGCCGATAGTCTCGTAGGTCGTGGTCATCTGTTGTGTATCCTTTCTGGATGCAGGTAATAAGTTTTTGCATGGTTGGGTCTTGTTTGGTGGCTTGTTGCACCATTTTCAGGGTAACTGCATCTAGGAGGTCATCTGTAACTATCTTGCTGATGCACAGGTCGTCATCTAGGTCTATCACCATGCCATCCATCTCCTGAGTTGTGTACTGGCAGAGAGGTAGTGGGTGGTGCGATGGGTGGTCACAAGGATTTGTATTGCCAGGCATGTATTTCATAGTGTATTGGAAATCCTGTACTTTCAGGCAATGGCGTTCGATACGAGCATTGTCCTTCTTGTTGCCGTTGTAAATGTGGATTAGTGGCTGATGGTCTGTATACGAGTTGAAAGGGATGCCAAGCAGATAGTGGCAGTGGATATTCATGCCCCACGTTTGGGAAAGGGACTCTGTCTCCGTTTGTGAATACTTCTGTTCACATGGTGTCTGCTGGAATGGTCGATGGGAATCCATGTTCCATTGGTGGTTTCATGATAAAGGCTGGATGCAATTCCTTCTGGTTCCGCATCAGTTATGTGAATGGTTTTCAGTGTGGGGTTAAATTGGGAAGTCCAAAAAAATTGTGTTATCTGTGCGTATACATTCTCTGTATTGTACATAAAGCGGGCATGGAATTAGCAGGCTTGGAGGAAACTCTTGCCTTCGTCAGCATTCTTGGGTGGCCCTGCCTCCTTGATAGCTTGGATCTTTTTAGGGTCTGCCGACATGCCGGACTTGGAGAAAATGGTGCATTTTTCGTGTTAAAAACAATATAAATATTCTTTTCACCACTCGAAGATAAAAGTCATATCTTCGCGCCGCCGTCTAATATCTTCTCTTTATTTTACACAGGTATATAATTTTTAAAGAGATATTGAATTTTATGATCGTGACTGCAATACGTTATTTAGCAAATATAAAACATTTTCCGTGTTGATATACAGTTATATCAAAACGAGTGGAAATTTGGAAAACGAGAAATTGTGTGGAAACACGACGCCCGAAGTGCGGAGTTTTCCCAATTTCCACGAGTGTTGATATAACTATATATTAGTCCAGCGCATATGCACAGATATTTGAGAAAATCATGCACTTTGTGAAGAAAGCACCAAATTCACAGGAAGTGTAGACCTTAACATGATAATGAATCTTAGATATGGAGGCATCACCAAAATTGATGCTGACGGCTTAAAATTTAGGATTTCTTATATTCTCTTATTAATCTCTTGTACAATTAAAAATTGTGAAATTGCAGGTTCACATATAGCAAAAATATATGACATGCGTCATTAGATAGCTTACAAAAAACTGCATATAAGACATTTAAGCAGTTACTTTGATTTTCCAACTCCTCTGGAGTTATGAGCGGTTGAAAATATGTTTTAGGGCTAGTGTCCAGGACTTTGGCGGGATTTTTGCTTATTTATCACGTTTTTAAATAGCAATAACTGGAAAACCGCTTGTAAAATCAATCAGCCGTTTAAAAGTCTTATATGTAGTATTTTGTAAGCTTTCTAATCATGCAAGTCATTTTTGCTATATGTGAACCTGCAATTTCACAATTTTAAACAGTAATAGAGTTTAATAAGAGAATATAAGAAATCCTAAATTTTAAGCCGTCAGCATCAGTTTTGGTGATGCCTCCATATCTAAGATTCATTATCATGTTAAAGTCT